ATACTATCGTTTGTAGATAACAAATGTTTCAAATCTTTTATAGGCTTAACTGAACTTATATACCTTATAATTTACCAAAATTATACTATATATACCTCCACTTGTATCTTGCTATACTTTTTTTTTAAATTTAAGATAGCATATCTTGCTACACTTAAATATCCTAATGTTTTCTAAAATTTTATGCTTGTACCTTTTGTCTTGTTACCTAAACATAAGAATGCTCTTTGTAATTTTCCTATTTGAGTGTCATGATATAATTTGAGGACAATTCTATGTTTTTTATTCTTTCCATAAATACTTTATTAACATGTAATTATCTATTAATAATTTAATATATTATTATACATGACTAATAGTTCATATGATGTAGAGTTTACAATAACGTTGGAAGTTTTATGGACCGAATTATACAAATTTAAAGTGACATATAATATAATTAATTAACAATGATAATTAATTTAGTTTAGTTAGTATTAGAATGTAATATCAAAAAAGAATAGGGGTAATATAGTCATTGGAAAATTTTTTCACAACTCTCTCTTTTAAAGAGAGTATGATTATCAATGAGATCATATACTATTTTTGTAGATAACAAATGTTTCAAATCTTTTATAGCCTTAACTGAACTTATATACCTTATAATTTACCAAAATTATACTTATATACCTCTACTTGTATCTTGCTACACTTTTTTTTAAAATTTAAGATAACATATCTTGCTGCACTTAAATATCCTAATATTTTCTAAAATTTTATGCCTGTATCTTCTGTCCTGTTACCTAAACATAAGAATGCTCTTTGTAATTTTCCTATATGAGTGTCATGATATAATTTTAGGAGAATTCTATTTTTTTATTTCTTTCCATTAAAATTTTATTAATATGCAATTATCTATTAATATATTATTATACATTATTAATAGTTAATATGATATTGAGTTTTACAATAGCGTTGGAAGTTTTAGGGACCAAACTATACAAATTTAAAGTGACATATAATATAATTAATTAACAATGATTATTAGTTTAGTTTAGTTAGTACTAGAATGTAATATCAAAAAAGGGGTAATATAGTCATTGAAAAGTTTTTCCACAACTCTCTCTTTTAAAGGGAGTATGATATATATATATATATATATATATATATATATATATATATATATATATATATATATATATATATATATATATATATATATATATATATATATATATATATATATATATATATATATATATATATACACACACACACACACATGAAGGTCGGCATATGGCGTGATCACAGCAATCGACCTAGTTATTGACGGATGGCTGAGATCAATCCTAGAATTTGAAGGACCGCTTGGGAGCCAAAGCACTACCCTCTATTAGCATGCATTCTGAGCTTGGAGAATGTGGCGACACTAATGCATGATCTCCCATGACATCAGAACGTCACATCAAATACAATCCTCAGTGATCCCTCTTAAATGAGCTTCAAAATCTTAGTAGTCGATAGTTCATTTCTCTCAAACTCGTCCACCTAAGTCCAAGTGAAAGGCACCAAAGTTACTACATAGAAATGACTAAGTATTAATCCTCTCCCATGAGTTGACACGTGTCCATTCTGGCTAAGCATTAGAGCGACTCTACCCTAGGCAGAACGATTCGACCAACACTGACGCTACCCTTCTTAAGGAGGGCCATATCAAAAGGTGTCCTCACTCGGAGCCACGACTTTAGTCGACCTTACTTCTCTACAACCCACGAGTAGGTGTGCTAAACTGAATTCGTATACAAGGAAATATCCGTAAATGTACGGATATGGTTACTCAAATCTATAACTGGTAGGATATGTTTACAGATATAGTTTTATAGTGAAATATTCGTATCCGTATTCAAAATATCCGAATACATATTAGTCATACTCTTACGATAGTTTTGATTCTTATATTATGGATTTATGGTTAATTTTGATGATCAAGGTGTTTAATCTTAGCTTTTCAGTTATAATGAACATATTGACGACCAATGTTGAAAATAGCGATAACGCATAGCGTAACGCTTACCTCAGGTTAATATAAAATGCAAAATAACATAACTCTTAATATAGGTTAAATAATTTATTATTATTTAAAGGATATATATATATATACACACACCCACACACACACATGCATATGTATATATATATATACATATACATACACACACACATATATGCATATATATGTATATGTATATGTATATATATATATATACATACACACACACACACACATGCATATGTATATATATATATACATACACACACACACACACATATATGCATATATATGTATATACATACACACACACATATATGCATATATATGTATATGTATATGTATATATATATATATACACACACCCACACACACACATGCATATGTATATATATATATACATACACACACACACACACATATATGCATATATATGTATATGTATATATATATACACACACACACATGTGTATATATATATATATCTACACACACACACACACACACACATATATATATATATAGGACAAATTTTCAAAACCGACCCCTTTGGATTTTTAATTGCAAAAAACGACCTATTTCAGTTTTATTTATAAAAACCGACCCAGTTAGTTGAAACTGGGTCGGTTTTTGAAATTTTTTTTTCCAAACTTCACGGGAGTTCAACTCCCGTGAAGTTTTGTTATGAGAAAAACTTCACGGGAGTTCAACTCCCGTGAAGTTTCCCAAAAAATTTTAAAAAAACCGACCTGTTTTCAGCTAAACAGGTCGTTTTTTGTAAATATTTTCAAAACCGGTCGTTTTTTGCAATTAAAAACCCAAAAGGGTCGGTTTTGAAAATTTGTCCTATATATATATATATATATATATTTAAAGTTGCATAAATACCCTTACATGTTATTAAGACATTTTGTCGGCTAGTAAATTATAAGGGTAAAGTTGTCTTTCGATCTTGTAAAAATTTACACCTATTTCTTTTATTCCCTCTACCGCCCAATTTGGGGGGAGGAAGGAAACTGTTACAAAATTTCACCTTTCCTTCCATCCTTTAACCCCTCAAAAACACTCCCATACAAAGGTTTTATAAAATTTCACATTCCCTTCCATCCTCTAACACCCATTCAAATACACTGTAAAATAATTATATAAATCTAATTAATATTCAGTAAAAATAGAATATAAAGAGATGATTAAGAAGGGCGGCATACAAATCTGATTGTGTGGTCAGATGATGGCGATGAACATTGGAGGAAGATAGGAGGGAGCAAAGAAAAGAAATATGAAAAAAGAAGAAATAAGTAGTAGGTTCTAGTCGTCTAAAACTTGAGATAATTTGAGAGACTAGAACTTTTATTTTTGTATAGAGAAATGAAAAAGTGGAATGATTTTTTACCATTGTCCCAATTCTAATATTGTTCTAGTTCTAGTTCTAATTGACTAAACTATATAATTTTATCCTAGTTCTAGTTCTAATTGACTTACACTATAAAGTTTTATCCCTCAAATTATCCTAGTTCTAGTTTTGAGTTCTATTTGATTAATCCCCCTAATTAAATCTGATTCTAAAACCGAGTCCTAAAGCCAATTTTGCTACGCCGCCTCTTTCTCTTTTGTTGCTCTGCCTTCTTTTCATCTTTCTTCTTCTCCCAAAACTCCACTCGTTCCTCCTCTCAAGCGTGACTTAAACCTCTGACTTTATCCAAGGCCTCCTCTACTCAACTTGCGAATTTGTCTTTAACCTCCAACCTCATCCACCACCTCCTTCCTTCAAAATTGACTTATGTCTTTTTCCACTTAAGGTCGCTTAGGCCCCAAAGAGCCTAAGCGGCACCTTGCTGCGCCGAGTTCCACTTTCCACAACCTAGGTTGGAATCTTACTAAAATCAACATGAGATTTTTTTTTGAAAAAAATGACGTATGCGTGTGCGTATGGTATGAAGGGACTAGTCTCATTGGCGAGAATGGTCCCTTCTGTTTTATTTTCATTTTCCCACTAGATAAGAGTACTAAACACTATGGTACTTGTATATACTACAAAATATTGCTACAATAGTGCCTTTTTAGGAGGTAGTCATGGTGCATAATGAAACAAGTGAGTCTTTGATTACTAGGTCCTGTACAGGGAGGAAGAGTTGTTCTTATTTTTGCTTTTAGAATAAAGAGTAGAAGGCGATATTGGCCATACATATTAGAACATGTTTCTTTTTATAAGTGTCTATTTGCTGTTGTGTTCATTTGGTCGTGGGCCAATGGAGTTTGCAACTATTGCGATTGTGCTGTTAAATTGAGAACTCAATTTTGTTTAGGGACATTATGTTTATCGTATAAGGTAGTAGTGCTCATAAAAGAATTTGACATAACTATTGCAAAGTTGACTTGAAATTAGTTATAGAGGAAACTTACAAATTTACTGATGGAACCAAGGTGGCATTTTCACTCTGTGAGTTCTAAAGTATATAGGGCGTGTAGTGTGTACCTATTTTTTCTTAATGAGAGTGATTACCTATCTTTTCTGCTTACGCTGCTATAGGTTTAATTACCTTGCAGGTTACTGAAGATATTGTTACTTGGTAGCTGATCATATGCAATTCTGCTAGCTAAGAATGTTAGAAATCCAATTATATTTGTTATTTTTAGAGTATCTATTGTTTGTACCGTGTAATTTTTTCCATCAATCTGCATGCCTTTACACATGTGTATGCATGTTTGCAGACAATGTTTTACATATAGTTTATCCTAGTTATTCAAATCTATCACTTTTTTAATTATTGTGTTGTTTTCTACTAGCATTTTGACATCTATTGTTAAACACTTGCACTAGGAAGCATAATTCCTCTATTCTCTTTCGAATTTCATTTTATGTTCCCTTTTCTACTGCCTTCAATCTTTGTTTTTGCAGCTGTTCCTTGTATAGACCTTAACATGCCTTTATGTATTATTGGGTTATAATCGTTAGATTCCTTGTTCTTAGATTTGCTGCGAGGTTGTTGGCATGGTTCTTGAGCCGAATATTGCGCGCATCTGTTGAGTTTCGTGTTGCTGGATGCAATTGTTTAAGGGATGTTTCTGTGAAGTTCTCAAAGGTCATTCATTACAAACTTGTTTAATGTTAGTATATTTGGCATTATAGTTGTACTTTGATAGTTACCTTTTTTTGAACCATTTTGCAAAATAATATTATTTAATCCAAATTGAGCATTAAGTTTCATTTAATTGACTAATGCCTAGATTTGACATTTACTCTTGTTATCCCATCCAACTGAAACTCATTCTAAAATTTGTGAAACCCAATTGAGCTATTTTATAATCCATCAAGATCTATGATGTACTCAGAGTAATATGCTACCAATTGATTAATCAAGTAGTAAGGATTAATACCAGGTTCTATTAATATGCTTGAGGCCATAAAAATTGTCAAAGTTATAGGTTTCTGAGCCTTTGACATAACATACAACATTTGAGTAATAAGGATGGAATTTTAACTAGCCTTTCAAACTCCCACAAAAGAATGATTTGTATCTCACTTCACAATATTTCAAGAATTTAATGTCTATCATGGGCTATTATTAGCCCAAAATGATCAACAACGCTGTTGCTTATGCCAAGCGTTACCATGCGTGTCAAATCCACGCCAACTATATTCACAAACCACCCGAAGACCTGCATCTGATAGCAATTTCGTAGCTGTTTGAGACATGGGGGATGAATGTTGTCGGACCGATATCTCCACTATCAGCCAAAGGTCATCGATTCATCCTTGCGATAACAAACTACTTCTCTAAGTGGGCTGAAGTCGTTCCCTTAAGAGAAGTCAAAACTAGTGATGTGATCAAGTTCGTCGAACATCACATTGTCTACCGATACGACGTTTCAAGACGTATCGTTCATGATAACGGATCGCAATTCGTTATTCATGCATTTACTCGGTTTTGTGACAAGTTCAGAATACAGAACATGGTGTCTACGACTTATAATCCATCAACAAATGGACTAGTCGAGGCTTTCAACAAGATGATCGTCAAGATCTTGACCAAGCTTACATCCAACAGCAAGCGCGACTGGAATGAAAAGCTCGGTGAAAGCTTGTGGGCGTATCGTATTACGGTTCGTACACCGACGTACACCATATCTTATTCACTGGTATACGGTTACGAAGCCGTGCTACCGTTGGAGATTCAAATTCCATTCCTATGCATCGCACCCGCAACAGGAATGACGACTGAAGAAATTCATTGGCGACGTCTCGCAGAATTGGAGGCGTTAGATGAGAAGTGGCTCGAAGCTCAACAACACATTGAGTTCTATCAAGCCCGAATATCCAAGGCTTTCGACAAGAAAGTTAAGCAAAAATCTTTCAAGGAAGGAGAGCTGGTCCTCGCTGTTCGACGACCCGATACTCAACTCCAAGAAAAAAGGAAAGTTCCAACCCAAATGGGAATGACCATTCGTAATAGAGACAGTCTATAGATCTTATAATATTTCAAGAATTTAATGGTTGTCATAGATCTCAGCTCACAACATATAACAACATAGTCATACCTAAAAATTTTAGTAATTTATAAAAAAATGCTAAAATTTCCTCTCAGTAAAATCACTAAACTTCTTCTCGCTGTCGTTGGTTGTGGGGTAGTGTCGTTGATTGCCACTCGAACGAGGAGGGGATGGTGTGGGTAACTTCAGACTCTCAGAGGACGTGGAGATGACTGCAGAGGAGAGCGAGAGGCTATGGCGGATTGTATCAGTGGAGTTGGTGGAGGTAACGTCAAGGGTTAGCGTTAGAGGTAGGGTGATGGCGAAGGAGATAGGATGGGCGGGCAACGGCTTGCAATGGAGCTCCTGGGATCGACAATAGTGATTTTGTCGGATGAGGGTGAACTAAAAAAATTGAAAGTGACCTATGAGAATTTGTAGGAGAGAAAGGGAGAGAAGAAGAGAGAGAGAGTGGGTTCCACCCATTATAGAGTTAGTGATCTCTTGGGATGGTTTTTTGATGAATGGTTTGAGACTGAACCATATAGGTGTCGCCGTAGATTGAATCTATTATGACACCTTAGAAACACATCCTCTTTAAGACAAATAGAACGTTGAGATTCATTGAATTGACTATTGCTAGATTTGACATTTGCCCTTGATATCTTATCCAACCGACACTCGTTCAAAAATTTGTGAAACTTAATAGAGTTGTTTCATAATCCGCAAAACCAGTGGCATCTTCGGAGTACTATGCTACCAATTTACTAATCATTGCCATTGTTTTAAATATCTCTGACATGGCCCTGTATATCCTTTTACCGGGCTTGCAGCAACGATATGGTCTCTAAATATTATTTACTGCTTGTTCCCTATTTTGGGTGATATATACCCTATATGGTTGATATATCAGTCGATATGCTCGTCAATATATCCTTTTGTATAGCTTGTCACAAAACAATATACTGGGTTTGACAATTTGGGCGAGATATCATGATTTTACCATTAGATCAAATGATATTTTGGCCTAAAAATCTGACGAAATGTTGCAACATTGATTTATACTTCTATTTAGTTGATTAGTGATCCTAAACATATATTATTTATATTTTGTATGTTTAGATTTTATTAAGTATGTTGAGATTACATTTTAGTGCATTACACTATATATGCAAACATTTGTTATGGCATTCTGATATTTACCACATATCCCGATATTTCCCCGATATCCGCAATCCAGTATGAATTTTGGTCATCCGATATTTTCCTGATATCTGATATTTAAAACCTTGATCATTGCTCCAACTCCTTTAGGTTATGAAAGCAAAAGTCCTTGCACAATGTTCAAAAACATGTTTTATTATTTGCGCGGTCCGAGAGCTTTTAAAAATTAATCGGATTAAGCTTTGATTAAGTGGATTATATGAAATTATGTGTATTTGATTTTTTAATATATATTTAATATCATATGTTCAAATATATTAAATTAACGAAAATAGAAAACATACTAAGAAAAAGACTAAAAAACATGCTATTTAAAAATTACTAACTACTTGACTACTTAAAAGTTCCATACATCAAAAGTCACTAAATACTTGAATAAAAATTGCTAAATTAAACACTTAAACCAAAAATAAACATCCATAAAATAAAAACAAATCATCTAGTCTTCCTCATCATCTTCATAAAATCATCTCCATTTGGGCCTTCATGATTTAATAACTTCATGATTTCATGCAGGCTTTATAATTTTGAACCGAGCCTGCAACCAAAAAAGACACCTGCATAACTCAATTATGTGGGCGCTTAATCAAAGCCGACCTACTTAAGTGGGTGTCCGCTTTTTTGAGCGTTTAATGTTAATTTTACGCGGATTAGGTCCTCTTCAGCTTAATCGACCACATAATGCTTGTTTTAGAACACTGTTCTTACATATTGCTATAAATATTCAAATTTTAAAGTAAAGTAACTTCTGCTGTTATTTCACCAAGTTATGTTGGCTGCTGCTGTTGCTCCTTTAATTTCTTTTGACCTGGTCTATCCTCATTTTCAATTTACATCTGCAATTTGCAAAAGAACAAATTTTAATTATGCTTAGGATTTTATGTTTTGTATGACTATTGTTTTTTTTTTCCATTCCAATTGTAAAAATGAGAACTTTATTGAGAAAACGACTTGCAGTCAATTTGGCTTAAGTTGTTCTTGGAAAATGTAGCCTTTTCTTTTTAGCTAGCAGCAGAAGAACTAGCAGCTGCAATTGCAACTGCATCTGCTTTTTGCATATCATGATAGTTTTTATAGTTGCAATTTTCTACAAGCGAGACATCTCCATAAATCATTGCATGACTTCACTTTTTTAAAGTAGACAGCAGCTGATCAATTGGTCAAAGTTGTTTGTTTGAGCTATATGGACATTTATGCACAAACATTTTGGCCCTGAGATGCAGGTCTTTGTTTGTTTGTTGCCTGCAATGATAATAACGGAGGAGATATACCTTAACATAACCGAATGGAGGAACAAGATTCTTGTGACCTACCCCCAAACATTTGGGGCAAAGGCTTTGTGGTTATTGATTGTACTGCCTGTAATGATATCTTTTCTTTGTTAGAGGCGATGGTGCATTTCAGAACATGGAGTTTGCTATGTATACTGGGGATAGTTAACATGCAAACTTCATTTTGTGGAACAATTTTTCCCCTTACTTCGTAAACATTTGAGACTATACTGTCTTCAGTTCACACCCTTATGTTAGCTGTACTTAAACTACTTGTTTTTTTAGAATACCAAAGTCGCTAACCCTTATCTGAACTACATGGTTGCTAATCAACCCTTATATTTAGATATATATTGTGCTTAACCTTTTAATTGCTTGTTTCTTAGTATCTGAATCTCCTTTCATGGCATTAGCAGTCTCCTGTTTTTAAGCACTGAAATCCCGTTTATGGTAATTCTTAGCCTGCTTGAAGACTTTGTTTCCCTTTTTCAGGGTGCTGTTGAATCTGTATCTATCGGTGAAATCAAACTCAGCCTGCGTAAATCACTGGTCAAGCTGGGTGTCAGTTTCATTTCTGGGGACCCAAAATTGCAATTGCTGATATCTGACCTAGATGTTGTTTTAAGGACTCCTGAACGAAGTGTTAAAAAGATCAAATCTCCTAGTAAATCTCCAAGATCACACTCATCTGGCAGAGGAAAGTGGATACTCCTGACTAACATAGCAAGATTTCTCTCTGTTTCTGCAACTGAATTGGTTGTGAAGGTATATTTTTGAGGGCTATCTATCGCTTGGTTAGATTATGTATAACTTGGGAATTTTGTTCATAATTTTTGACGCATTACATTATAAAGCAATATATGAAACTATGAGCTGGCTCAATAAATAGGTACATTGCCAACACTAGGCGAAAGTATTGCAATTTGGTATCCTTCTCAGCAGTTGATGCTGAATACTCTCTCTTTGCACTGCCGTGTTGTTTAAAATTGATTTACTAGTTGCTCTTGAAACTCATGCTTTTCTGCTGAAAGCTTCATATCACAAGTAACCGTCATAATTCCTTTACACCTTACAGTTTTAAGTTATATTTAAGTTAGAAAGATACATAGTCTCATACATTACTGAGGCTGCAGTTACTGTTTTGAAAACTCTAAATTGTGACTTTATAAAAGGAAGCCTGTGATTTCACCATCTTAAGAGTTATCATCTGATCATTATCTGTCTTTCCTGAGTAAATACAGTACCATATGAGTACTCAGACTCCATGAAACATTTTAAATCAGCTGTCAATGTGACACCAATCCTCTATAGTCTAGGAGGACTATGGTAAAGAGAAGGTCCTGGTATTACATTTAGGACTGCTGGTGGGAAGGAAACTGCCTAATTTGTAATAGTCTCTAGACTAGCAAACTATGGGAAAGGCGAGGGGCTTGCTATATAGTCTAGAAGGACTATTGGTTGAAAGGAAACTGCCTAATTTGTAATAGTCTCTTTTTTCCTAAGCCTGTCTGTCACACCGTTATTCTCTTGTGACCCGATCAAGACAATGGGATCAATGTTTGAACTGTGTTCAACTTTTCAGGCATATATATACACACATGTATATATGTGTGTGTGTGTGTTGTGTGTGTTCTGTGCGCGCGTGCATATATGCATAGACACATACATATGTATACACACACATGGGTATATATGTATATACGTATGTGTGTGTGTGTATATGCATGTATGTATGTACGTATATATGTATATATGTATGTATGTATACACATATATGTATGTACACACATATGTATGTATGTATGTTATGTGTGTTTTTTTATGTTATGTCTGTATGTGTGTGTCTATACATACATACATACATATATAAAGCCAAAGATAGCAGAAAATAAACATTTCTTTATCTTGAGTGATAACAATAAAAAAATAATAATTAAGAATATAGTAATGATAAATAAAAGGGTGCAGCATAGGCTGCATAGCATTTTCTTTAAATTCCTTATTCATCTAATTTGATGAAATGCATAAAACTGAATAAGCTATCTCCATTTGTAACAGTCTGATAACCACCCTGATCCTAAAAAGTCACTGTTTCAGCTCTCCTGGGTGTGTGAGTGCCATGGAAGAGACTCATTCACTAGTTTAAGCTACCACAAATGTAGAAATCATCTTCATACAGCTTTTATAAGATCATTGTAGAGTTATCTTGTCTTCCATTTTGTTCTTGTGTAAATAATTTAGCATATTACTCCACATATAGTAAATGTTGGATATATTGCTTAGTTCATTTATCTAAATGTGTAAGCTATTAAATTCTGTTGAAAATGCACTTGCATTTGTTCACAACGGCACACAACAAATGTCTTACTGATTCTCTTCAAAAGATGGGTGCTATTGTTGCAGTTTGCAAGTGAACAACATCTGCATGTGATTTCTGTTAGGTCACAAGCCAAAGTTGGCAATCATGCCTCCAGGTGTGCGCTCCACCAGCAATTTCTGGTTAGAAGTAGCTTGGGATTGGATTGAGTATGTCATACAAACAATGTGGTCGATTTTCACCCTATTAATGTTCAAATGGGTTGGTGCTAACTGCTAAGATGTATACTAGATATCTTATGCTGCAACTGGTTGTTCAAATGACTTGCGGACTATGTTAACTGGGTACTTCTATCTGAAGCTGTACCCATACCCGTACTGATGCGTGCCTGTATCCGTACCAAAACTCCTTGGGTATTCCTAGCGTACATTTATTTTGGCATGTATTCAATTATATAAAAACACTTCTCAACTACGTTCTATGCTAGACATCCACTTCCTGAAACTGTTTGGACGTAGGTTGGAATCTCAACTACGATTTTAAAGGTCATGTGGGTTTCTAGTTAAAAAATAAGTGGTTTTCCAATTTATAGTTCATATCATAAAAGAAACATAAAACTATTATAGGAATTCTAATTCTCATAACACGTGAATGACAACAATATTAATCTCATGTAAATTATTAATTTCAATATTAATATATATGCGTATATAAATATTTATATAGATGTGTCCCTGTACCCTACCTTCTACAAATTTGCCGTGTCTTGTACCCATACTGGTACCCGTTTCCATGCAACATAGCTTGTGGACAAGGATTCCCTCATGTTATGGAGTTAAAGATTGCTTGATTAAAGATAGCTAACCATGAAGTTTATGTGGGTGTCATTCTGGCTGATAGTTGCTCCTAGTCATTCTCTTTATGGTTGAAATGGGATATCTGATAACTTTTGCATTTTAGTTGTTAAACAAGCTCTTGATGTTTTACATGATTCTTTTTTCCCCATTTTTTGGTAGGTGTTTGATATTCGTGTAATTTTTATTAACTTTTGATTTACCTATCTGAAGATTTTCTGAATTTCTTCATCCTTTCTAAAATCAGTCTTGTATCTGCATATATACAAACAATATCTAATAAAGGAAATAACTAACTAGATTGATTCTTTCCTAACAATCAGGGAACAGAATCACAGGAGAAGATCACAACCGATCTCTCCTTTTATTCCTAAAATACTTTCCTAAAAAATAAATTCCCTAACTTTGACTTCCAAATATTCAACACTCCCCCTCAAGCTGGAGAATATATATCATATAATCCCAGCTTGCAAATTAAGTCTTCAAAGTTAGGTCTAGGTAGAGCTTTGGTGAGGATGTCTGCAACTTGTTGCTTGGTAGGAATGTAGTTCAGTTTAACAGTCTCACTAGTCACCTTCTCTGTGATGAAGTGTCTATCAATTTCAACATGCTTAGTCCTATCATGATGCACGGGATTCTTTGCTATGCTGATTGCTGCCTGATTATCACACATCATTAGAATAGGAGATGAAGTCATTTGTCCCAGTTCACTAAGAACCCTTTTTATCCAAATCCCTTCACAAATTCCCTGTGCCAGTGCTCTGTACTCAGCTTCTGCACTACTTCTGGCTACCACTGATTGCTTCTTGCTCCTCCATGTAATAAGGTTACCCCAAACAAAAGAACAATATCCAGAAGTTGATCGTCTATCAATGACGTTTCCTGCCCAATCTGCATCTGAATACACTTCAATGTCACGATTCTCTGTCTTTCTGAAGAATAGGCCTTTTCCTGGTGTCATCTTCAAGTATCTAAGAATCCTGTGGACTGCTTCCATGTGTTCCTCTGTAGGATTGTGCATGAATTGACTTACAACACTCACTGCAAAACCAATATCTGGCCGAGTGTGTGAAAGATAAATCAAGCGTCCAACAAGTCGCTGATATCTCCCCCTGTCTACAGGTGTACTTTCCTTTTCATTGCCAAGTTTCTTCTGACTATCCATAGGAGTATCAAGTGGTTTGCATCCAAGCATACCAGTCTCCTTAAGAAGATCTAGAATATATTTTCTTTGAGAAACAACAATGCCCTTCCTTGATCTAGCCACTTCCATTCCAAGGAAATATTTAAGATTTCCAAGATCTTTAACTTCAAACTCTTTTGACAAATACTTCTTCAAATTATGTAATTCCCTCACATCATTCCCAGATAGAATAATATCATCAACATAGACTATCAATATAGCAATTTTCCCAGCTTGAGATTTCTTAACAAACAGAGTATGATCAGCCTGACCCTGTATGTAGCCAAGCTTCAAAACAGCCTTTGTGAATCTGTCAAACCAGGCTCGGGGAGATTGTTTAAGGCCGTACAAGGACTTCTTGAGTTTGCAAACCTGATTCTTTGCCATACTTCCTTCGAAACCAGGTGGGATTTCCATGTAGACCTCCTCTTCAAGGTCACCATTTAGAAATGCATTTTTTTATGTCCAGTTGTTGCAAGCACCAGTCTTGGTTGACAGCCAATGAGAGAAGAATTCTGATAGTGTTAAGCTTTGCGACAGGAGCAAAAGTTTCTTGATAGTCTATCCCATAGGATTGTGTAAATCCTCTAGCTACCAATCGAGCCTTGAATCTCTCAACTGATCCATCTGCTTTGTACTTTATAGTGAAAATCCACTTGCACCCCACGGGTCTTTTCCCAACTGGTAAATTAGTAATAGTCCATGTTCCATTCTTCTCAAGTGCATCAATCTCATCTTGTACTGCATTCTTCCACTCTGAATTTTGTAATGCTTCTTGTATTGTGTTGGGAACCTGAATATCATCAAGAGAAGAAGCAAATGCTCTATAAGATGGTGATAGCCCTTCATAAGTAACATAATTCCCAATGGGATGGTCTGTACATCTCCTGACACCCTTCCTCAATGCAATTGGCATGGTAGAGTCATCAATGCTAGGAATTGGCACATCTCCAGCCCCATTCGTACCCATGTTTTCTTCAGGTGGACTTGAAATTGAGTCAATATCTCGGCCACATGCTGGTTGTGATCCGTGCTCTAGCTCCTGTCTTTTTTTTCTCCTGGTGTAGACTTGAAAATTCTCATTAGCAAGTTGTGGAGTCGCAGATTGACCAGGCATGGGAAACTGGACAGCCACGGGAGGAGAAATATTTATAGGCTGGATTGATGACTGAACAGGCACGGGTGTGGACAAGTCTTGTGTATGGTCAGTGGGCACAAGCACGGGTTGAAAAGAACTTGGTGACTCTGAATGGGCAACGGGTACAGACTCAAGAAAGGACTCCCAAACTTGATGTTCATTCATGCTCTCCCCCTGAACATGAGACTTGGGATAGAAGAACACATGTTCAAAGAAAGATACATCCATGGTAGTGTAAAATTTTTTGTTGTGTGGAGAATAACATTTGTACCCCTTTTTAGTTGGAGAGTACCCTAGAAAAATACACTTATTGGCTCTAGGATCAAATTTGCTACGGTGTTGAGGATACACATGAACAAATGCCGTGCAACCAAATAACTTGAGTGGTAAATCAGATGAAGCTGCATGAGTGTGAGGAAAATTTTGCAAAAGAAGTTGACGTGGAGATTTAAAAGTAAGAACTCTGGATGGCATACGATTGATCAAATAGGTAGCTGTGAGAATGGCTTCCCCCCAGAAATAATTTGGGACATTAGAGGAAAACATAAGACACCGGGCAACCTCCAAGAGATGTCTATTCTTGCGTTCAGCCACCCCATTTTGTTGCGGGGTGTCAACACAAGAACTTATGTGGATAATCCCATGGTTCTGAAGGTAGGTATTGAGACTACTAGTGAAGTATTCCCTAGCATTGTCTGACTTGAGTACCTGAATTCTAGAGTTGAATTGATTTTGAACCATAAGATTGAAGGTTTGAAAAATTTGCCCGACCTCTGACTTTTCTTTCATAAGGAAAACCCAAGTTACCCGTGTATGATCATCAACAAATGTTATAAACCATCGAGTTCCAGAAACATTTTTTATCCGTGAGGGACCCCACACATCACTATGGATCATAGAAAAAGGAGTTGAAGGTTTGTATGGTATTTGAGGATATACTGTTCGAGTATGCTTTGCAAGCTGACAAATTTCACAATGAAAAGATGCTGGACTTTTATTGATAAATAATTTGGGAAACAGTTTTGCAAGATACACAAAGCTAGGATGACCAAGACGATAGTGTAACAATATAATTTCACTATCTTTATTGACATTGGAATTTGACACATAATTGAAAGACTCTAACAGACTCTGAGACTGGACGCAACTTGCTTGAGAAACTTGGTTTGAGGATCGACCACATGAGAGGAGATAGAGCCCGGAGCACAGTTCAGCACTGCCAATCATCTTCCCCGATTTCAAGTCCTGAAAAACACACAAGTTTGGATAAAATTTAGTAACACATTGAAGGTCACGAGCCAATTTGCTAATGGACAAAAGATTACAATCCAAGGTTGGAACATGAAGGACAGAGTTGAGATACAAATCTTTAGTAAGTTGGATGGAACCTGTCCCAGCAATTTTTGAATTTGAACCATCAGCAATACGGACGGACGAGTGACTACTACTTGGCTTGTAATTTTGGAGAAGTGCAGCATCTCCTGTCATGTGATCAGAAGCACCAGTGTCGACTATCCACGACCTCATTCCTCCTCTAATAGCAGTGAAGGCTGTATGTGAATCCGTTTGAGCAACCAAACCAGTCCCAGTAACGCTACCACTGCCAACTTGACTAAATAATTTTTGTAGCAAATCCATCTGCTCTTTGTTGAATGGGCTAGGTTCAGGAATAGGAGCACAATCAGAGTTGGAAGCCACATGTGCTTTGCTGTCTCTATTAGACTGTGGCTTTGGTTTCCAATCAGCTGGTTTGCCATGGAGCTTCCAGCAAGTCTCCTTGTAATGGCCTGGTTTCTTACAGTAATCACACCAAGGCCTTTCCCTTTTCTGACGATCTCCACCATTACTGTTAGATGATCGAACAGCAAGGGCAGATGCATCCAACGTTGAGACAGATTGTTCCTTAGACCCCATCATCACTTTCTTTCTACTTTCTTCACGTCTAACCTCCGAGAAAGCCTCCCTGAGACTGGGCAGTGGTTTAGTGCCCATGATTCGACCTCGAACATCATCCAACTCCCTGTTAAGTCCTAATAAAAACTTGAACAGCCTTTTTTGTTCCACAATCTGCTTGTACGTTGCTGCATCTTCTGGACATTTCCATGAGTGAGTCTCGAATAAGTCAAGTTGCTGCCAATACCGTGTGAGCGTGTTGTAATACTGAGTAACAGACTGCTCTCCTTGGCGAAAGTCATGGAGTATTGATTCAACCCGAAACAGCTCTGAAGTATTTTCAGAGCTGGAGTAAGTTTCTTTGGCTGCATCCCATATTTCTTTTGCAGTCCCAAATAGCAAGAAATTTTCACCTATGTCATTGTTCATAGAATTGATAAGCCATGACATGATCATACTGTTTTCAATCTTCCACTTTCTGAAACTTGGATCTGTAATCTCTGGCATGGCTGCTGCACCTGTGAGATACTCATCCTTTCCCTTACCACAAATGAACAGCAACACAGATTGTGACCACTGCAAATAATTATGGCCATTTAATTTGTGTCCTGTGATGAGAATAGGAGATGCAACACTGCCACCAAGGTTTGGAATTTCTGAAATATCTCCTGAATCTGGTGTCGTGATGCTGGATGTTTGTGATGAGACCATTCCGTATTTTGTCATGCTCCAAATATTGCGAAGAAGAAGATGAGGGAAAATAGCAAATAAGATTGCTGGAAATAGAGAAGAAGAAGGCCGGGACGAATCGGCCAGAGAGAACAATGGCCAGGGAGAGATGGCCGGGAAGAATGATGGCCAGAGAGAGGCGGCCTGAAGGGATTAGGGTTCAGAGAACCAGCTCTGATACCATGAAGATTTTCTGAATTTCTTCATCCTTTCTAAAATCAGTCTTGTATCTGCATATATACAAACAATATCTAATAAAGGAAATAACTAACTAGATTGATTCTTTCCTAACAATCAGGGAACAGAATCACAGGAGAAGATCACAACCGATCTCTCCTTTTATTCCTAAAATACTTTCCTAAAAAATAAATTCCCTAACTTTGACTTCCAAATATTCAACACTATCTTTTTTTTCCAAGGTTGTCAGGATAAAATTTTCCTTTCTTTTTTATTTTTAGATATTTTCAATTTGAACTTTCATTTCGGCTCTGCTCTCATATATCACTTATTGTAAAAAAAAGGGTTGCCTACTTTCTCAAAGTCTTGCAAATCAAATGGCTAATAGTTTATAAAGTTGCATAAAAGAGTCCAGTCTCGACTTCTAATTGTATCCTCCTATTCTACATCTCTAGAAAAGATCGAAGTGATTATTTAATCATTGTTTGACTATGAGACTGCAAGTTTCTGATGGATTATTGAACTACAACTTGATAAATTGCATAGCTTGGTGTAGACAACCTTCCAAGAGATCCTGCCTTTAGTTAGGCATTTGACTTTCTTTTGGAAGCAATTATTTCTTATCTAGTGACTTGGCAATTTGTCTAGTTTCATCAATTGGTTTGAGCTCCCTGACCACAAGGGAGTTTCTTCTTTCCTTTCTTTTTCTTTATCTAGTAACTTTAGGAAAAGTGTCAATGGGGGATGGAGGCGGGAATAACGAGTGGGTGGTGGCTGTGATTTTCGTGGGGAAGCGACACTAGTGTGTAGGTTGGTTGCTATGGGAGATGGAAGAGAGGGATGCCATAATGCTTCAGGATTGGTGTTGTTGGGTAGCTCACGAGCAAGGAGGGAAGGGGTGTCGGTTGGTTCTTTTTGGGTGTTGGCTTTGTTGTTGGATTGTTTGGCATAGTTGAGAGGGAGGAGAGTCGATCGGTTGCAAAAGAGAGAAGACGAAAAAATTAGTATTAGGATTTTAGGAGACGTTCCTTTGGAATTACAATTGACATCTCAATTGGAATTTGGCCTAAAATTTCTGTCCCTTTATTGAAGAAATAATTAGTGATTTACAAACCTGATCACCTAGAAACTAATCCTTAATGAGAAAGATTTTTAGTTATATTAAAATAAATACTTTCCTGATTAGGTACTGAAAAATTCCTAAACCAATTTAAACTCCTGATGTATAATTTGCCTTTTATAGATACACCTTAAAGAAAACCATCCAGAATCAATTTCTAAAGCTAATAGTAGTCTCGATCACTTTTCCTTATTTCCTTTCACCTGTTCATTTGTGAATTTCCAAAAAAGAGTCATCATACATCAAGTGTTATCTCTTTCCATGATTCTTTGAAGCTAGTTAGACTTCATCATCTAATTGCATCTAATTTTTTTGCATGCTTGAGTTAGTTATTTTTTTTCTCCATTTTTCCTTTGACGCAGGGACCAAAAGTTGGTATTGAGATCAGAGATCTGAGCGTGGACATATCTAAATATGGTGGACCCAATCCGGTTCTGTATGTGAAGCTGTGTCTTAATCCTTTACTTGTCCAGATATTTGATTCGTACTCTGCTTTTGATCATTCTGGTTTTGACCAAGGGGATTGCTTTCTCACTGGAAGAACTTGTTCAGATTTTCTAGAAAAGGACTATGCTCCTTTTATGTTGGAGAATTTATCAGCTAATTGCGAGTTCGGTCATGATAGGTGAGTATTATCTCTACGAAATTGATCTTGGGATCTCAATTACTGATGCATTTCATTGAAGCAGTGACAGATGTTAAATTCTGTTATATATTACATTTAAACTTTGAGCTTATTTCAATTTGAGTTTACGTTTGTTGAATGTGAATGTGTTTGTGCCATAGTGTATCTGGTTGTATGCTTAGTTTGTTTCAGTTCCCTATAAAAGGCAATGAGCACCGTTGCTTCTCACCAGTTGCTTATTCCCAATTATTTGTGGAATTAGCTATTTTTACTGATCTATATATAAAGCTAGACTTTTGCTTGTGTGATTCACGTGGTATACCACATTTGCTAACTTTGCTAGTATAATCTGCTCAATAAAATCTTCCAATTTGGTTTTATTAATAAATCATTGATAAATTTTAATTTTATACTTAGGATGATTTTTGATGAAATGCTGAACCTTTATTTGTGATTTATATGGAAGGGAACGAAGCACAAACAAAATTATGGATATCTGTAAAGTTAATTTGAATTTTAACTAATTTTCATTTCATCAAATATTCATTAATATTTGATAGTATTAGATACATGGATTTTTGGATACCTCGAAACCACAATTATACCCGCTTATGAAAGGACTCCCCCAATCTCTATTTAATGAGACTAGGATTTGTGCAGTAATTATTTTTTGGGTCTTTCTCTGTATTGTGTTAAGTAGAACTCTGTCTTAAAAACCTTTATGTTTTTTTAACTAGAGTTTATTTTTTAAATTTATTGAATGTAGATATAACGAAGAACAGGTTAAGCTAATTCTTGCAAACTTTTTGAAAAATAATTTTGGAAATTGCAAGATTCATGAGGTTGTTGATGTGATTGAAAGTAAAGATACATTTTAAGGCGTATTTATAATTCTACGTGCAGAATGTAAACTTATTTGTCAGTAGAGATGGTGATTAATAAATATTAGAAAGTTATATGTGAAAAAGGTTAATTACATCTGCACACAGCTAATGCAACATGTAAACTTATTTGCTAGTAGAGATGGTGGTTTGTAGGAATCCAAAAAGTTCTATGTGAAAAATATAAATTTACATATGCACACAACTAATATTTTATGTAGTATGCCAATATTTTATAGGATGGTGCAGACTATACATATTCTTTGGTTTGATACCAGAATTTGCATAATGTCAGATTGCTGTGGTATCTTGGAAGCACATGGTTATTTTTTTCTTCAGAACAATAGACTGTGCCTTGGACTTGAATCCAAAACTTTCCATGACCAAATGCCAACATGTTACACATCATTTAAGATCTAAGGGAAAACAAAGTTTAGCAGGTCATATTATTTCAAAAAATAATCAAAGTTCATTTTTGATGGTAAAAAGATAATACATAGTAAGGGTGTGCCATTTGGCTGGTGTCGATTACTCTCATAGGTAAATTCTTTTTAAGGGAAAACTCATCTAAAATGCCTCTTAGGACAAGGCTATTATTGTAATATCTGATTGCTAATAGAGGTAATGAAGTTTTTAAAAAGCTATTTTGGAGAGAGTTTGAACATTGGATATACGAGTGTTAAAAGTATGGGTAAGAATGATCCTGAAATAGGGATAAAAGTTTGGGGACTTTTGGTTACTGTGCTAAGGTTCGTGATATGTAGATCATATTGCAGGAAAAGTACTAAAAGAAAATCACTTGGGGTATATTTTTTTAATTTTTACAATGGAGGTAAAGCCAAGGATACCTTGCCTTTCTCTACTACAGTTACTGTCTTGTCTTCCTTAGAAGCTCCTTCTGAAGCCAATAAACAGAACCTTAGAAGCCATGAAATGCTTGTAACAAGCAATTCCAAACATCTTAAATCTATGAGAATTTAAAGGATTTTCTCTTTTTTACTCTCTCCAAAGAGTTGTTTGCTGTAATTGTGGATTATCTTTGCTTTCAGTTGAATCATGTATATGTGTGAGTGTCTATATATAGGAATGGTTATGCTTCATTCTAAGCATTAAATTTGGTGCTTGGTATTGAGGAAGAGGAATCTCAATCATAGATATGAGCAAGATTAGTTGAATGGAAAGTACATCTCCATGTGACACTTTTTCTCTTCGTACTTCACAACCTTAGTTGTAACTATAGGGGTGTTAAATGGGTGAGTTTGGGTATTAAATGGGCGGGTCATAAATGGACGGACATGTTTTGTCCATTTACCCATTTATGGCCCATTTAACATTTTCTAAATGGGCGGGTTTTTGCCCGCCCATTTAATAAACGGGCCGCCCATTTGCCCATTTAACTATAGTAGTTATGTATATAATACTTTGGGGGTGTTTTTTATAAAATTCTTGGGAGCTTTTTGCAAACTATTGAGGGCTTTTTGCAAACTATTAGAGGTTTTTTGCAAACTTTTTAGGGAGTTTTTTGCAAACTTTTTGGGGTTCTTTGCAAACTTTTTTTTTGGGGGGGGGGGTTTACAACCTTTTGAGGGTTTTTTGTGCAAAATTTCTGAGTTTTTTCCCAAATAGATTCCTTCAAGAATTAGAAACTAGAAATAGAATTCTTATTCAACAAATGAGTCAGAAGAATTCTATTGGCAAATATACAGATGTAATGCATAATATATTAGGCTCTGTGTAACATATATATTTACAATAAAGAGCAAAAATGCATAGTTTAATCCAAACTCAGCTAACTTTGCTTCCCAATACAAAAGATGCTATCATAGTACTAATAGATTGCGATACATTTGCAAGTCATATGTCTAAAAAAATTTAAAACAAGTAATATGATCAATACTAATAAATTGCCTGGTCTCATTTCAGTCTATCTAGCCATGCACCAGGACTCAACCATCTAACAACTGTACAGTGTATTAATTTGTGAGCAAGTCTGAAATTAGCCACAGCTAATGTTTCGCCAAGGATTACCAGTTTTTCTTTTATAGCATTGCCAAGTCTGGAATCAGCCACAGCTAATGTTTCGTCTTCACAATGAGTTCGTAAGAACTTGCAAAGACCCTTGCTCGACTTACTATCAATCAACAAAGTTGCTGCAGATAAAGCTTCCTATGTGTTCTCAAATTTATTGAAAGCTTTCAGTTGCAGCACCTGATGAATGCAAATAAAGAGAATATTACTTAACATGAACAACATGCATATTGTTATGATATAACTAGTATATTGCGATCAAAATAGATAAGTTGTAGCATGAGATAGTATACCTAGATAACATAACTGTAGTTGTAGCGTGAGATAGTATACCTGGATAAGTTGTAGCATGCATAGTTTAATCCCCAAAAAATTGGATCTCTACAAATTCTACCGCAAAAAAGTAAGAAATTTTTTGATGGATTCATTTGCGGCACCAAACCAAGTCTCAATCTTGATCAGTCGCCTAATATCAAATGAAATAAAAATCGTAACTTTTGAACAAATGCACCACTTCCTCTACATATCTCCATTTTGAAATCATATAAGGGTCAATATGTACATCAGTTTTACCCTTACCAAATATATAGCAGAAGCTAAATGATCACGAAAACATCTAATTTCCCACCTTATACTTGAACATAATGATAAATTGGCCTACCTATCGACATAAGTAACTGGAAGCCAGTAAAGTTCTTTCAATTATAAACTCAGCTAAATTGATGCAGAAAAAATGATTGTGATACATGCACAAGTTAATAACCAAATTGTATTTTATTTAAAGTTATATTGGGTAGTTAGGTTTGGGAATTACATGCACAAGTTAATAACCAAATTGCTTCTGCTCTTTACTTATTTCTGTATCTTTGAATCAGAAAAGAAACAGCTGCTTTGAAGATTACATGTCAATACATTTCCAAACAAGATTGCCAAAAAAGAAATAGCTATCAGGTTGCCGATGTCACATTGCGAATGTAGACATCATAATTTATAAAACTTGCTTAAATGAGCTGGAAACAGCTTGAATAGTTTACCACTGCAAACAGCTTAAATAAGTCATCACAGTTTGCTTTTATCTCAAGGTTAATGTCTAAATAAATCATAGTTACTATAAGTCATCACAGTTTGCTTTTATCTCAAGTTGTAAGACATTTATATATGACAAGAGACATTAAGCTGATAAAAATCAAGAGCACCCTGCACTCAGGAAAAAATTGACATTGCTTGCCCTCTATGCAATCAGCAGCAACAAAGAATGTTAGGTCAGCTCCATGATGGTATAAAAGTCTCATCATGAAAAAAGAATATTGCTTAAGCCACAATCAATCTAGTAATTTCCCGAAGAAAAATGTTGATGCAGTGAAATTTGAATTAAAATCAAAGGCTATGCTCTGGAAGGATAGTTACTAATAATGGCCACACTTCTGGCACTAGGTTCGAAGCGCCAAAAATTATCAGCTACCGCAATGACTTTTACCAACTTTACACTCAGGAAATTCAGTATGAAACTGTAGGCTATTTCCAGAGTAGTTTGCCAAATGACCAAATGAAGTTCATTTAAATAATAGTCACAAATAAATATATTGAGAATGTTCAACTACTGTGTCAGAAATATGATACAGAATATTAGCTTAAAAACTAATCAAACATGATACAAAATATTGGCTTAATAAATATATTGAGAATGTTCAACTACTGTGTCAGAAACATGATACAGAATATGGATATGGACAGGGGTAATTGAGAGCTCAAACAAGCAATGCATAGAAGACAACCAAATATAAACATCTCTAAAATTCAAGGAATTTAGCTTAGTTTCATTCAAATCACAAAGACAGTTGCATTTAACATTCAGAAGATAAATTTTATGCATCTGCATGTGTGGGTGTATAAAAGTTGGAAACAGCAGCTAGCATGTCGACAACGTAAAATAAAATCTAGAATTCAACCAATACAGGTGGTCATTTTTTAAAAATTGTAAATGATATTGCCACAATGTAAAATAAAACCCAGAAGTATATATCAAAAACAGATCATTACAAGATGAAAAGACAACTATCAAATTGAAAGGTTAAAATAATCCAGACCAAGAACAAATTGGCTGAAAAGATATTACTTTGCTTCTTCTCCTGGGATATTTACAACATAATTATAACTAAGCTGCAATCTTTACTCTAATTCTCTCAATACCAACATTAATCAGTCCAATCAACTAAACTAACACACTTAAAATTAGTCAGTGAACTCAATTCATATCCCTTAAACACAAGATCCAAACACTCGGTCCAAAATCTCTAACTAACAATACCAACCCAAACTAAACCCTAACCCTAAGAAAATAAGAAATCAAGATCCGAGCCCTACCTTTGAGAGAAGTGAGATTCAAGTCCCGAACAGACAAGATCAGCATGGTTCTCCAGAGATCAACGCCGGAATCGAACAGAGAAGTTCCGGCGTGGTGGTTGAGACCGATGAGCCTCGATCCGAAGGGAGATACGTCGATGTCGTACTGGATGAGGCGGTAGACGTCGACGGCGGTGGCGGCGTCGCTGAGCTCAACGCAGGCGACGAGATGAGGACGAGGGCGACGACGGAGTATATCGAGTCAATGACGTCGTAACCGTCTCAAAATTTTCTTCGAGCTGCTACCGCCATCGTTGGATTTTTGAGAGTGAGAAATGTGAGAACGAGCGAGAGAACGGGAGAGTTTTTACCTGGGCGTGTTTAAGGCGGGCGCGATGCCCGCCCATTAAGGACCCATTTATCTTTCTTTCAATAGATACCCGCCCATTTAGGCCCATTTAACTAAATGGATGGGTTATGAGCGAGCTGAATGATGGGTGGGCTAGGCGGGTAATTGGGCATGGGCCTTAATTGTCATGTCTAGTTGTAAGGTTGAACTGCATCCACCTTATTACCAAGCAGTGTATTAAATATGAAAAATATCGGATGACCAAAATTCATATCGGATTGCGGAAATCGGTGATATATTGGGGACACGTAAAAAATATTGGAGAGTCATATCGGATGATGTTCATATGTCACATAACAATGTAATATGTAAACAAAACATATTTAATGTAATATGTAATCAAAGCATATTTATTATTTACTGTATTCTAAGCATAAGAAATTGAATCATGTCTAATGATATATGATGGTTAGAGGCATTAGATATAGGTGGAGGTGAAAGAAAGAGAGAAGACATGAACAGAGGAGAGAGGAATAGAGGAAGACCGAGAGATAAGGGAGAGAGAAGTTAAGAGAGGAGAAAAAGAGAGACAGAGGGGTCTGAGGAGGAGCTGAGAGTGAGAGAGAGAGAGAGCTGAGAGAGGAGAACTGGAGAAGAGAAAGAGAGAGTGGAGAGAGAGGAGAGAGATTCATACCTGAGATCGTCTAGTGTTTTTGAGCTAAAGCGCCGAATAAAGAGGAAGGAGAAATGTGAGATTGACTAGGGATTTAGGGTATTTGGGTTAGGGTATTTATTAAGTTTTCAGGTCTAGTGGGAACCAAAACCAAACACAAACTCAATAACCCTTTTCATTTGGATATTAGCCAATATCAGCCGATATTTTCTCAATGAAATGCTTTTGATATATCGGGAAAAAGTGGTAAAAATCAGAAAACGATATTTTTTTCATAAATATTGTATCAGAAGGGCATCAAAACCGATATAGCAATATATCGAACGATATTTAATACACTGCTACTAAGCACCAAACTTATACTTGGTACCAAACATACCCATTTGTCTCATATAAATAGGGTATAGGCCCAGAAAAAATTACTTACTTTTCAAGACCCTCGTATAAACTCAATCCATATGTGTTCTGATCGCCAATTCATTAATCAAATTGACATTTTCTCGTTCTATTCATTCGATACTCATATGCTTCCATTTCCACTTTTCGTAAATGATCCCGGGCGATTCTGATATATAAAAAAATTCCAATGGCTTTTGCTACTATGACCTTCCCAACCACGATGTAACAATTACAATGGTATTGTTGAAACTCGCTTGAACATTAATAACCCTTTTTGGTATTCTACGTTCATTCTTATGTGAACCAATACGTCCATTCCTATGCGAACCAATTCTCGGTATAGATTGTCATATTCTGTCATCTCATAAATATGAATCAGAAATTTACAGAAAACATACGTATAGACTCTTGTAAACTTGAGTGGGTTGAAGCTATTGTCCACCAACTTTTTTATCCATTGGATTCGCTTTGAGATTTGTGCTTGCATGTGATACATACTAAGATACATCTTGAAAATAACATTGATGTGTATTACATGCTAACACAAATCTCAAAGTAAATTTAATGGATAAAAAAGTTATTGTATGGAGTCCTCAATGAAGTTATGTATGCTATAGTTTTACTCTCTTTATATATATAATGTATGTGTATATATATGAGAGAGAGTAATGGATATGCTTGATACCAAGCATCAAATTTAGTGTTTGGTAGTGAGGTGACCATTTCTCATCCATTCATTCAATTGGTGAGTAAATAACTAGGGATCATTTTCAAATGGACGCTTTTAAATGTGTGGATGGGAATGAGTCACCTCACTGCTACATACCGAATTTGTGCTTGTTACCAAACACACCTATTATATATATATATATATGAAAAAGTATTCCTAAGGTGACACCTTAGATTCAATCTAAGGAGGAATCTTCAAAACTACGTATAAAACCATTAATTTTGTAATCATTCAATTCATGAGGTAATATAAATCAATATGCCTACTTTTTGTTTATATATTATTCAAAACTTATAGATCGAAATGAATAAGGTAGATCAAGCAAATTGATTGCGTATAATGTAATTTTGAAGATGCATCCTTAGATTGCACTTAAGGTACCTCCTTACAAACATATTACCCATATACATATGTATACACGCACATATATAAGAAAACAGGTGGTAAGCTGATAGCACATGAAATTTCTTGCACTGTCGCCACATGGTAATACATGATTTGCTAAACTAGCTGAAGATCTTGAATAGATATATTTAAAGGCAATTATATTGGGTATTTAAAATGGAAAAAAGAGACGACTTAAATGCAAACTTTCCCTCAAACCTACACTTCTCATGTGACTTGTCCTTTTAAAAAGCGCAGATCTTTTTTTGAATAAAGCGAGTTCTTCCAAATTGTGGAGAAACTCATAAATCCACATTTCCCAAAGAGAGATTTTTTTAGAAACAAAGCCTGATGTTGATCAGTAAGTTCTCAAGTTCTATGGCCCAATGGTTTTTTTGAAATTGCAAAAGAATTAAGCACGAAATCCTCCAAATTCCATGTTTATTTCTTCAATGGATTACACAAAAAAGTAAAATTTCTTCTGGAAATTACAATCATGAATGGGTTTATGAACACATGAAGGAAATATACTAACAAAAAATCTACAACTAGACGTTGTGGTAAAAGGGTTTTTGGGTTTGCTTGGGTTTTTTTGGTTCGATGGAGTTTTGTGTAATACCAACGTGCAAATCGTCAAAAATTGTATCTGAATAGTTGTAAATTAATGGGGAAAAGGGTTTGGGGTTTGATTGAGTTTGATTGCAATTTGGAACAAGAACAACGAAGGAAAAGGAAAATAACGGAAGGAGTTATGGGGGAGATAACTTTGTCGAGACATTAACTTATTACTATATATTATAACCGCTCTCGACTATTTCCTTAAAAACAAAAGACAACTCCAACAAACTAGGTACTGCCTGTGGGGACAACACATGAAATTTCCTGCGTTGTCAGCTGTCAGCTCACCTCTGGTTCTCTCTCCCCCCTTTCTCTCTCTCTCTCTATATATATATATATAGAGAAATTATAATATAATAATAATAATAATAATAATAATAATAATAATAATAATAATAATAATAATAATAATAAGATGGTGAGATTAGATTCTTATTGTGAGCTAGTCCAAACTGTTATATTATACGATGATCGGCAACGTCCATCGTGATTTGCACTTGCTCTAATTTGTATGTAGAAAAAATTATATTGTTAGAACTTTTAATCATTATTTTAGTTATGCACAAAATGGACAACTTTTAAGCTGTCTGAACTCTGAAGCATCAACATATTAAACTAGTTTGATTCATGTTGTAGAAGATTTAAAAATCTCTGTGGACATTTGATGATGTTTTGAACAAAATGTACGGTGTCGATCATGAATATGATGTGCTGATTAGTCTAGCCCATGACAAAAATTGAGCTCACCATCTGGCAAGATCATTACTCCTGTGTGTGTTTGATTTTAAAAGGCTTGAATTTAATCATATGATATGATGACTATAGTGAGCTGCAACAGCAAGTTGAATCATTCAGAAAATATGTTGGCAATAAATTCAAAATACTTAAGTTAGTCACATGATGTCATTTGTGATGCTTGCCATCATCATTTCACCAGACTAATGCAAATTTGTCAACTTATGTCTTCAGGGAACAAGGAGTCAAAATAAAAAATCTGGATTTTTCGAGCGGTGATATCACCATAAACTTGAATGAGAATTTGTTTCTTAGAACAAAGAAGAAATCAGAGTCTTCTGTGGGTGCTAACATCAAGAAAAGCTCTACTTTAGAACTCCCGGCAGTCAAAAAGTCAGAGGACAATAAAATATCATCTCTAATGAGGAAATCCTTGGTTCCAGAAAAGGTTTGTACCCTTATTTGGGTCTTCTGCTGTTTCTGCTTTTGGTCTTTTAACTCTCAGTACTTTTGGTACTGTTAATTGCTTCATATTGCTATGTGCTCTATATGGTTTTATGGCTTTTGTTTTCCCTCAATTAGTAAGATTCATTAAAGATTCCTTGCACCTATGTTTATTTTCAGTTTTTTGGACGGCATTTTTTCATTGTTTAGATCTCCTGCCATCATCCTTTTAACTTTCCATTGTTGCATCTTAGCGGGTGGATATTTGCAACATTCCTTTCCATTAAGTAATTAATTTGTTAGCTTTTCGTTTCCTTGTTTTTGTTTTATTTCTGAAACAAAGTTTGACTACGTAACGATCTTTTGAATTGGGTAGTTTTCACGGGCATAGTGTCAGGTGACAGTATTTTTTCATTTATGGAAAGCTAGTAGCTACTTTTTCTATGGCAGTTTTTGCTTTTATTACATGTAAATATTTGCTGATCAGTTGCGGTTTTAAATCTCTATGCATTTTTTTTGGGTTAGGTTTTTTCTTATTTTTCACAACATAGTGCAAAACTATTTCTGTCTGCCTATATTGCATGATAGTTCTTGAATTCCATGTTAGAATCAATATTTCTCATGTTATTACTTCGAATACTCAATATAGTTGACAAAAGTTATTTTTCCTGGAAGGTTAGCTTCAATTTGCCGAAGTTAGATGTGAAGTTTATGCACCTGGGTCAAGGTCTTTCTGTTCAGAACAATGTTATGGGCATCCAACTGAAATGTAACAAATGCACAGCATACGAGGATTCTGGGGAAACTGCATCACATTTTGATCTCCAAATGGACTTCAGTGAAATTCATGTATTTGATTTGTTTGAGTAGTTATCTATTATTTGTGAGGCATGATCAGGTTGGTGCAATTTTATGATATCCTTCCTCCCCTTTTTCAGCTGCTCAGAGAAGGCAGTAGTTCTATACTGGAAATTCTAAAAGTTGCTATTATAGGTTCGATTGATGTTCCAATTCAAGTAAGCCCTTCATCTTGCTTAAGTTTGTTATTTATATTCTGATGCTTTTTAATCGTTAATGTCTGTTCATAATATCTTAATCATCCAGTTGTTCGGAGGGATGCTTATATTCTCTCTTGTGTTTAGTTTTCACATGATTCAGCACGCACACATGATCAAGTACTTGTGCAATGATGACTTAACCAAGTCATTTGCTATTACTTATTAAGTGATTCTATCCGCTCGCTCTTAATTCTGCATTTATGTTTTCTTCTTTAGTCTTTACATGTGTTTGTCGATTTTTTTTGGTTATTTATTTATTTATTTTTTGGGGTTGGGGGTTGGGGTGGTTACAGATGCCTAAAGGATGAAAACTTTTATTTGCTTTCATGATTCATGCTGAACACACACCGTTAGGAGTGATCTCGACAAAAACCGATTATGCTCATGGAAAACCCATACAATGATTCAAATATCATCTCTATCTCATTTCTCAGCAAAGACCTGTTCTTTCTAACGAAAAAGTGAATGCGTCTCCCTTCAGTCTTTATAATCTCCAGAGCTATGAGTAGGACTATCAGATGAGATTTTCCTTGTATGACCTTACTTTTTGTGGTACCTATGTAAATACGTAATAATACTCAGCTAGCCAGTCCTGTACTTTAACATGTATCCAGCTTACCTGTACATGCATTTCAGATTGTATTTAGCCTGCGAAAAACAAGCATGTATATTTAGTCTACCCTGTCATTCTTTTGCTGCTCCCTTCAGAGAAAGCACTCTTAAGAGCCTCAGATTTTTGTTCCCAAGATTCTTGGCAAGTAGTTAGTTTTATGTCTTTCCAAGTTATTCAAGGGCTGTCTATTAATGAATATGCTAATTCCATTACATATGAATATGTATGTATATAACTATATATTATTATGTTTGCTATCTATAAAACACTTAGCCTTATCAATCGCGATAAGCATAAATTTTCAAGTTTTGTAGTGATGATAGATAGCCCTAAATGGAACTGAATGGAAGAGTTAGACTTGTGTGACCGACCCCAAATATTTGGGATAAAAGCCTTATTGTTGTTGCTGTTGTTGTTGTGCAAACACATATTACACACACATGCATGTATATATACATGTATATGACAATCATATATGTGTATATGTGTGTGCGCATGTGATTTCTTTGCCTTTATTTCCAAAGGAGCAATTCAGTTCTTTAAGGTATTGGTGCTTCCTTTTGGGATTCTGTGAAATTCTCAGTTTTTTTCCATGATTGAACTGTTTAATTAGTTTAGAAAGAGGGGTGAGGATCTCTCTATTCTTGATCACATTTTTCTTTCTTTCTTTCTTTCTTTCTTTATTTTTTCTTTTTTTTTCGCGATAAACAATCGTTATCCTTTTGTAGCCTATTTATTTATTGCGGACTTTGGTTGTAGTGTTGTCTAGACCATATACAAAGATCTGTAGAAATTCTTTTCTTCACTAGTTCTGATAAATTTTTTTTCTCAACTCAATGCTTTAATTTTTAAGCTAGTGATATTGAATATTTTAATCAAATGTAAGGGATACATAAATTTTGCCATTCCTTTCCTAGATCAGGCTGGGGCGGAGACACCTTAGCTCACCTATATTTTTAGAAATTAATTCCAAATAATGGGTAGAAATGGTAATCTAAAATACATTCTTTTGTTATTATTTGAATTTTGAGCTGCTTTTAACCTAGGGAAATTATTAAAAACAAACTTTGTTCTGTCCTGCACTCTTGATAATTTAAGACAGCTTTTGACTCTTCAACTGGAAGAATCAAAAAAGAAAGTCATGAACCACAAAGTTATAGGTCCCATCATTACCTTCAAAACACATGGGCATTGCCCCAATCTGGCATATGTATCATTAGATATGATTAGCTCCAGACATGACTTATTTTTGCTGTGCATCCTGGAATCCGAATTCCAGCCTTGAGGTTCAGGTTTGTCCCTTTCTTTGCTTTCCTTCTCCCATGGCTGAGCCTAAACTTTGTTATGCAGTCAATCTCAATACTTGCAGTGAGACTGAAGTGGTGTAATGCATGATTGTTCTTCAGCATGTTTCTGTTTGCTTAAACTTCCCCATTTGCATTTTTTAATATAAATTTTACAGTCTTCTCCTCCAGATGTCCCATAGATATTGTTGAAGTCCTTAATTTCTGCAAATGAATTGGGTATGTTTTCATTAACCATCTACTTTGACATTTTATCATAATAAAGTGGATTATCTTGGTGCTTAGTTATCGGTTTGAATCCGGGGAAGATATTTCTTTGTTTTGGTTTATTACGCTTCATTTCATAATTTTTTAGCTGATTTAGATACTTGCGAAATTTCCTCTCATGGTGTTGATTTCTTCAGAATGCTTCCTCACTGAATTTTCAATAGCTGAATTTCCACTAGTAAAAATTATAATTGACTCTATGGTTTCTAGATTGATTTCTCTGCATGCCTATCATTGCATCTAGGGAATTTTATTGCTCTCCTCATTGCTTTCTTTCCTTAGGTCAATAAATAATGGTTCCTGATATGCTGTTTTCTCCCATTAGTTTGTCTGTCTGTTGGGCTGTTTTCACGATGCCATGACCACATTGCACTTAAGCTGGTTGTGCACAGCTTGGGTGGTGTGTGTTTTTTGGTTCTTTGATCGTATTGGTGTAGTGAATAATCTGGCAGTTCATGTTCAGTTTGCATACTGTTTTATGCTGCTCTGCATGTAGGATTTGTTGTTTAAATCTCATTCGACTTCAACTGATTTCTTGAACAAATTGTTTACTCATTGGTTATTTGGTTCATGTTGTCTTTCAGTACACTTCTTCTATTCTTTCTCCCCTTTTTTATGTTTATGTTTATGTTTAAAAGTTTAACTAGTTTATGTCATCTTTCTGTAAAGTTTGTTACTTATTAAGGTATATGGATAGGGATATGTATTGAATATCCTTTGATACTACATGTTTGAGACTTTTGTGTTTGTTAACTTGTTATATCCTTTTCCGTACAAGTACAATCTCTTTTATTTATTGCCCATATCATGTTTTTTTTTGAAAAATCATATTTAAGTATAGGGTACTTATTCACATCTTCTTCAGTTTTCAATTATTACTTTGTTATGTTTAGAGATACTTATGATGCCTTTACTCTCAGCTGCTTCAACCAGTTAGAACTGAGATTGATATCAAGCTTGGTGGAACACAGTGCAACTTAATTTTTAGCAGGCTGAAGCCCTGGCTTCGTCTGCACTTCTCGAGGAAGAAAAATATGACATTAGATGAGGAGGTTTCTTACAAAGAAGGGCCTCAGACAAGCAAAACCAAAGCTATCATGTGGACAAGTACTGTTTCAGCTCCAGAGGTGACTATCGTGCTTTATGGGCTTAACGACTTACCACTATATCATGTAAGTTTCACACATTCATCATCTTCATGTTTATACCCTTCAACCATAGTTTTCTGTCTATATCTTGCTTAGAGCCCCTTATTCCAAAAAGTGTGTAAAAAGTGTGTGTGTGTGGGGGGGGGGGAGGGAGGGGGGTGAGTGGGGTGGGGGGGGGAGGGAGGGATCTTTGTCAACTTAAGTGGATTAGACGTTATTGTCCACTAACTTTATAACATTGATTTTACTGTGAGATTTGTGCTAGCATGTGATACAAATCAATGCACACTTCTCAAAATAGCCTTGATGTCTTGCATGAATCTCAAAGCAAAAATTAAAGGCTAAAAAAGTTGGTGGACAAGACCTCCTATCCACTTACATATATTTAAGAGGATAAGAGCTCAGTTCCATCTGGAACTGGCCTGCATAGATTTATACGGTTTGCATATAGAACACTGGTTGATGTGTATGTGTATGTATAGGGTTTGATGATTATGAGTTTGCGGCACCTTTTTTAAATTGGTTACCAGGATATAAAAGGTGGCGAGACCCTGGCATCCAATGTCAGTAGCATGGATTGGAGCCTCACCAGTCACAACATATCCATCTCTTGGTATCTTTTGGTAGCTCGCTTAACAAATGAGCTTCCACCACTCATCCATTATTTGCATATCATGTAATATTTACTTAACTCATTGTATGCATCATATATGTATATACATGTGCGCACAAACAAATGCAACTATTGTGTTGACATTGTAGGAGACCTGGAGACTTTTTGTTGTACCTTAAAACCTCATGGTTAATTTGAGTGCACAATCTACGCTCTTGAGCGTACGCATTTATGAATGGACATATATGCATATAATTATATATCTGCGTGCATGTGCTCGTACATGCGTGTGTAAATGCAATTGTCTATGTACATATATATGTGTATCTATGTATATTAATAAAAACAAATCAGAAATTTACGGCCTATTGTAAAATTCTTGATTTTTCTTTTGCATCTTTTATTGTTCTGTATGTGGCAGTGTTTATGTGCCACGTTATTGGTACTGGCAGTATGTACCCAATAAGCACATTATATTGCATACCATATTTCATTACCGTTACAAAATCTTCCTTTTACTTCTAAGTATATTTAAGATGATGTATCACAGATCCATGGTACATGTTATTTGTTAATGCTATTTTATTAGTTTTGGATTAGAGTAGGATACTTTTCAAAGCAGCAAGATACAAATAAGCATTAAAAGCGTAAGAATTTAAAATAGTAGAGCGTAAACATTTTATTTAAAATTTTAGTTTAGAATAGGTGAAAAAAGATTTCATATTGTACTTGTTTATGATTAAGAAATATGTGGAGTGACCATTATTTATACTTAGGGTCTGTAGTGAGATTGAGGACATGGTTCATAGATTCCGAGTGGGATGATTAGAACTGCTTTCTGAAGGACACTTAGGAAGTTGAAGGAAAAGTTCTATGGAATGACTAATGAGATTACAATTATATACCTGAAAGTGAAAAAACTGTAGTAGCCTATTAAAGTGGCTAAATCTGATTGCAACACTGTTGAAGTATGAATGTTAGTTTACAGTTTTGAGGCCTATCAGTAGGGTATATGCCATTTCTTAATGGTTTCTCCATTATTTCATTCTTCTGCTTCATGAGCATTTGAATGATACATATGCATTCCTTCTTATGATGTATGTACTATGGAGGACTTCGTAAACTTCTTGATTGTAAACTACAAGAAAGAGGATAACCATATTGAATTCATGTAATTCAAATGATGGTGGTTCTGACTCCTAATATTAATTTCAAATTAGGCTAGTTTCTTGTCTCTTCTTTTGACTGTCTCATATAGGAAAATAGGATTGTGAACGTACTTGAAGTGGAAACTTAATGTGAGCCTCTATCTATGGTCGTTAGTTTATGCGGCTGCATTTTTTGAGTCTGTTAGTTTTGTTTTCTATTCAGTAGTTGTACGGACTTATGTATCTCACGGGGAGCAGAATGGCAGACTGGATCTTTAGAAAGCTTCAAGTAACCACTGATATGAAATTTCAGATCCATCCATTTAGTTTATTTGGCATGGGGCTGGCATGTCTGCATCGCACATCGTTTGCTCAGTTTCTTTGGTTGGTGATTTGGGAGTACCCTGTATAGTTTGGGTCTAGCTAGGTTCAGTGTCTTGATGGGTTCTATCTGGTTTGTAGGTTCTGCTCTGGTAATCTAGTTTGGCTGGTTATTTTCTGGCATGCTCGTGCATTTTCACTGTATCTTTTTTTGTTCTCACAAATGGTTCTATTTCAAATTTTGTATGATTAACTCATATGTGTTGTATTTTGAAGTTCAGCTTGCTACTTTTTCCTGTGGAATAACCTAAAAGTAAATGCTCTCTATGATTGATCTTTATTTAGTAGGTCTTGTTTGCATAGACATATCATCCTTAAGTAAATTTGCTCATGTCTAGCACTTGTCTGCTCATCTCCAAATTTCTATTCCACCCTTTCTGTTTTTTTCCTTCTTAAAAATTGCCTCACGTGATTGTATGTTCTACCACAAACTAATCAAATAATGCTAGTATGTCATGTTTAATCTTTGAAAATTTCATATACAGAGAAAAAGAGATCCAAAGGATTACAGTGGTCTTATTATTCTTCTATGATTATATTTCTGGATAATGCAGGTATGCTCGCAATCATCTCATCTGTTTGCAAATAATATAGCCAGTAAGGGCGTTCAAGTACATGGAGAACTTGGTGAATTGCATTTGCATATGGCTGATGACTATCAGGAGTGCTTGAAGGAAAGCTTGTTCTCTTTAGAAATCAATTCAGGCTCCTTACTGCACATTGAGCGGGTTAGTCTCGATTGGGGACATCGAGGAGTAGAATTGCACGAGGAACATGATCCTAATAAGTGGAAATTGATTTTTTCTGTGGATGTAACTGGCATGGGAGTATATTTTGGATTTCATCATGCTGCATCTCTTATTTCAACCTTGATGTCCTTTAAAGCACTGATAAAAAGTTTAGGTAGTTCTGGGAAAAAAACTGTACAGACCAAAGTGCGTTCTAGCAAAGCAACTTCTAAAGGGACACAAATTTTGAAGGTAAATCTTGAAAAATGCTCAGTAAATTATTGGGGTGATGTGATCGTAGAGGATGTAGTTGTTGCAGACCCCAAGCGTGTAAATTATGGTTCACAAGGTGGGGAAACAATAATTACTGTTTCTGCTGATGGGTCACAGCGCACGGCAAGCATTATATCTACTGCCCCCACTGGTTGCAAGAAGCTTAAATTCTCATTATCCCTTAATGCCTCTCATCTCAAGCTTTGCTTAAACAAGGAAAAACATTCTACACAAATTGATCTTGAGAGAGTGAGATCAATCTACCAGGAGTATTCTGAAGAAAGTAGGCCTGGTGCAAAGGTGACTCTAGTTGACATGCAGAATGCAAAATTTGTGCGTCGCTCTGGTGGCCTCAATGAGATTGCCGTCTGTTCTCTGGTCAATATAACTGATATAGCAGTCCGATGGGAACCTGATATGCATTTGGCATTGTTTGAAGTAATGACCTCCTTGAAGTCTTTTGTACATAACAAGAAGAACCAGCTTTCCGATGGTGAAGCTTTACCTAAATTTCCAGATAAGGAAGTAATATTGGAGCAGGCACAATCTGATAAGAATAGCAAGAAACGGGAGTCAGTTTTCGCCATCGATGTGGAGAAGTTAAAAATTTCAGCTGAACTTGCAGACGGTGTGGAAGCCGCGATTCATGTGCAGTCTATCTTTTCTGAGAATGCAAGGATAGGTGTATTACTTGAAGAGCTTATGCTGAGTTTTAATGATATCAGGCTCTTTAAAAGTAGCCGCTTGCAGATTTCTCGAATTCCTGTATCTGTTATGAGCAATTCGGCTGACGCAAAAGTACATTCCACAACTACATGGGATTGGGTGATTCAGGGTCCTGATATTCATATTTGCATGCCTTATAGGTTGCAGTTACGCGCCATAGATGATGCAATAGAGGATACATTGCGAGGTTTGAAACTTATTGCTGCTGCTAAAACCACTCTCATATTTCCTACAAGGAGAAGTGCAAAGAAATCTAAGACTAAGTCTACGAAATTTGGATCTGTCAGATTAATCATACGTAGAGTTACAGTAGGTATTGAGGAAGAACCTATTCAAGGCTGGCTTGATGAACATTACAATCTTATGAAGAATGAAGTTTGTGAGTTAGGCGTTCGATTGAAATTTTTTGACGAACTTGCCTCCACTGGGAAGTCAGGAGGTTCTCGGCCAAATGAAACATGTAACGGAAAGAACTTTGTTCACAATGGAATTGAAATTGACGCGTCAAATGCAGCAGCTATTAAAAGCTTGCAAGATGAAATCCATAAGCAGACTTTTCAGTCTTATTATCAGGCATGCCAGAGATTAGTGTTGTGCGAAGGAACTGGGGCATGTTTGAGTGGCTTTCAGTCTGGTTTTAAACCAAGCAAAAATAGAACTTCACTTCTAACAATTTCTGCTACTGAAGTAGATGTGACCCTTATCAAAATTGACGGTGGTAATGTGGGGATGATTGAGTTCATAAATAAGATTGATCCTGTCAGCTTAGAGAAGGAGATACCATTCTCACGGATGTATGGAAGGGATATTTCTTTGAATGCTGGATCTTTAACCGTCCAACTTAGGGATTATACATACCCACTCTTCTCGGGAACAGTCGTCAAATGTCAAGGACGTCTTGTACTTGCACAACAGGTCAGGCTCAACTTTGCTTTTTCTTGTCACCAATGGCTAGTATACTTTTATTTTCTAACTGTCAAATGCAACATGATTAAGTATTTCTTTTACGTCATTATCGATGAATAGTTGCATTTACGCATGTTCTTTTCCGTTTGTCCTCTTCATGTTCTTTCTCATCATTGTCATCAGCAAAGAAACGAACTCATATCTGATGTAAAATATCATGAACTGTTGTTGTTAAGTTGTGGTGTATGGTTGTAAGATGCTATCTCAATATTCAGTGAATATTTACTTTGCCTTTATTTGATGTGCAGAAAATAAGAAAATAGGAAGCAATAACTATTATTATTTTTGTCAAAATGTAGAAATATTATGGTTCTTGTTCATCTCAGGAATTTATGGTGCTCCCACATGATGATATATTTAATGTTAATTCACCTCAAAGATGGTCTTTAGCGGATATATTTGAGAAAAGACTATGATTGTTATCTCTGTCGACAGATCACACTAGCAGGCAATCAAGTTCCCCTCATGAAACTAGCTAACTTATGGTTACAACTCACAGTCTCACGCACATGGTGTAGGATAATAATTTAATATTGGCGGATAGAATACAAAAGAAAAAGTTTTTTGGGGAGGCTACGAGGACAAAGGGCATTATATATGAATGACCTATGGTCTATGTCCTTATATAAGAATAACATTAGCATGTTAAGTTTGATTAAGCTATGATATTTTGCTCATTGGTTGGAATGTTAATTTTAATACCCTGATCACTTTTTTGACCCCCTATGTATTCATGTGTTTACATGTGCTGTTTCCTCACATCATAGTTTCAAACTAATTTGGACCAGAACATATTCTGCAGTCCAAAAGATCTCTAATAGAGAATCAAGGTTCTGTTTGCTAGACTATCCTCAATCTGAAATAGAAAAAGAACTTGAAAAAATTACTTCTTCGGATATTTCATATCTATGTCATCATTTGCACGTAAATACGCTGATACTTAAATTAAGTTTTATTACAGATGTCAAAGAAAATCAACATGTTCCCCCAGTTTATTGCAATATCACCCGGAAACTTCTGGGTATCGTTTTCCTTGAAGTCCCTCCTCATACTTTCTTTTGAAGGATGAATCAACTTATTAATTCATGTCAGAAGCTAAGAAATTAAAAGGTAAGCTTTGCTTTTAATGAAAGCTGGCATCAAGAGCTAGCTAGTAGAATTACTAAGGTCTTTGTATGACTTGCCAAAGTTTAAGAGCTCCTGAGTTTTTTTTAATTTTGCATCTGCCATCTCTTTCCTCCTTGAGCTAAGCCCATTTTACTCAATTCTTATTTTGGCAACAATCTTGCACCTAGGGTTTACACTAGATCGCTGGTTAGTAATTAGATATCTTGACAATTTTTTATATAACAGAGTTATATATTTTCAAGTTGTATTATTCTTCCACTTTAAGCAGAATCTCCCTGTGTGCATTATGAAGGAGATTTGCATCATCTGGTTTAGATGTAAGCAGGAGGTTACAGGATCTTTACTAGATCAATCCATCTAGGACCACTTAATAGGTTATCTACCTTTATCTCTATCCATGTCCCTCCCATTGTCCTAAACTGCATATTAGGCAGGAAGCCTTCCATCTTAAGAAGCCTTCTTTTCTTATGCGGTGCCTCTTCCACTGTACTTTACCTTCCAGGTAGTTTATGGCCGAATCTCAAAGGATGTAAATGGTTTCGAACAATTGTAATCAATCCATGCTTGTATCCATATGCGTGTGCATTCCAAATATCATTTATGATTAAATTTAGGTTCAATTGTGGATATAAATAACTTTGAGGTGCTTGATTCAGATTTGAATTGGACTAAGATTTGGGCAGCTGGTCGTAAGTATTTATAGGAATTAGTCTTCCCTCACCCCATATACTCATGTTATTCATTGACCTTACCCATTAGTAAAATAAAAATGAGAATTTAATGAGGGATCTGCATTCCTTTTGTTCCTTTCTTTTTCCGGAATGCATGAAAACCTTAAACTAGAAAAAAAAAATCCACGATCCTCATTTTCGTTCTTTCAGTTGAAATGGTCATATAACTTTCCTATTCATAAACTAGTGGTACCCAAATTCATAGTTTTTCAAATGACTTCGGTTGCAGCTACCTAAAACCTTTGCCCAATTTGTTTACGTCTCAAGCTCCAACCCCCGACAACAAAAAAAAGCTACACACGTAAAGCGGAGACAAGCAAAAGAGGAAACAAAGCCACCTGGAGAGAATAATATTTGAACTTAATTAGTGATCCATCTCTAACCATGTTTTATGAAAGGTCAAAGTGTGATGATTCTGTTGGTTGTGATGCCACATGGCTAACGATTTGATATCTGGACAACTTCATGGATTTTTTTTCACATATGTAGTGTACTGACTTTGACATACAAAGCCCAGCGTCTTGATGGGCATACAAATTCCAGCATCTTGATGGGCATAGAAATTCCAGCGTTTTGATGGGCAGATTAGTTTTCTCCATGTATGAAGTGTCTAATTTTCCTTACTGCATTGAAGTCGTGGAATAAGTGCAGCGACTGCACTCACATGCAGTGATTTTGTTTAAAGGAGATACACCTAAAACTGATTTGAGGTGAAGTAACTGAACAATTTTGATGGAAATGGCAAGAAAATATGAGGTCAGTAGACATTATAAAGAAAAATAGAAAAAGCTTTGGTAACTTCAGTTCTTCTAAGTAAAGTAGACGAGTATAAGAAATGTTAATATCTTTGTTAATGCCCTACATCAATCTGTTAATACGAGCCTTAATTGAATACCATGACTATAATCCCCCTATGCTCGTAACTGTTATTATAGTTTGATAAAATTAACAGTTGTAACCAACGTTTTAAACATCGGTTATTGAAAATATATCGGATGGTCAAAATTCATATCGGATCCCAGTTATCAGGATATATCGGGAATAAGTAGTAAAAATCGGAGTGTTATATTGGATGCTAAGCGTATATAATATGATAGTAATCTCAGCACATTTAATGAAACATAAACATACTAATATATAAATAACACTTGTTTAGGATCACTTGCCAAGTGTTTTTGTTTAGTGGAAGCGAAATAGAATAGAATTGTATTGTTTTTGTTTAGCGTATGCTCGTTGAATATGGAAAAAAGAGGGTTTTTGTCTCCAAACCCGAACCAGTTCACTTAGAATGTCAATTGTAAAAAATCGGGTGATTTTAGCCAACGAGAAATCGGCCGCTTATCAGAGTTACACTGATATATTAGGAAAAATCGGCTCAAAACTATATGCGATATATTTTTGCAAAAATCGTATTGGTCATAGCCCAAACACTATATATAGAGGATAAATCGATAAAATCGGCCTATTTTTAAAACATTGGTTGTAACAAACACAACATTGCTTGCTGCTTGAATGAAGTATGAGGTTGAGAAATCATGTTGTATGACCCACACCCACAAAGACCACGTGTGCATGCTCAAGTAGACGCATAAGGGGAAGTTGGAATAAGATCTGTAATATGAAATAACCAATATTTGTCCATCAATTAAGGATGTTGAACTCTAATTTTTTTGTTTAAGTTATAGTTCATTTATGTCTTAATTCAAGTTTATATGGTGTCTTAAGCCCTTTTGCTATCTTTTGACGTTTATGAGCTTCAGAGGGTTTTCAAATGACACTTCTGAAGTCATGTATTTTTTTCATAAACATTTCTGGTAGAATGTTGCATTTTTGTCATGAAAATGATATTATTTCTTAATAGTTCATTATGTTAAACTATAAGAATCTATTTTGTGCGTGTTGGGAAAAAAGGAGCTGGTGTTTTATGATGTGATAAAAATCTATTTGGTCAAGTTCATGGAGAGCTTTTAGTT